CCATTTCTTGCACCCATTGCTCCTCAGCTGCGGGGAGAGGGATCCCTGTGCAGGAAGCTGCACCCCCATCCTCCCAACCCCCATGCGTCCAGACCCCCTCATACCCAGATCCTCACAATAAGCCTCACCTCCTCCGCCCTCAGAACCTCCCCGATGAGCCCCACTCCCCCTGCACCTGGACCATCCCGATAAGCCAGCCACACCTGGATCCCCAGCCCACCAAGTCCCATCCAGTTGCACCTGGATTCCCACCCCACTGAGTCCCACTCTCCCAGCATCTGGACCCCCAACTGAGCCCCCACCCCGGACCCCCCCTCCGCTGAGTCCCAACCACCTTCACCTGGACCCCCCCCTGCAGAGTCCCGTTGCATCCAGAACCCCGCAACAAGCCCCTGTGCATCCAGATCCCTCCCATACCTGGATTTCCCCACTGAGCCGCCTGCACCCAGATTGCCCCACACAGACCCCTCTCAACCCACAGCTGGAACCCTTCACACTAAGTCCCTCCACACTTGGATCCTGCCTTACTGAGCCTGCCTGCCCACACCTGTGCACCTGGCATGGAGGGGCAGGGCCTGGGATGTTTCTGGGGCGGGCACGGTCCTTGCACTGTTTCTGGGTTGGGTGCCATCTCACCGCTGAGTCTGTGTCCTGGGGGTGAGCTGCACAGTACTCTTCCACCACCATGCAGCCAGTGGCCTGTGCTCCCCAGTGCCATGCTGGAGCCTCCACATTTAATTGAGAAATAAAATTTGCAGAATTTTGAAGAATTTTAAAATATTGTGCACATAATTTTTAATTTTTTGGTGCAGAATTTTAATTTTTTTGGCGCAGAATGCTCTCAGGAGTAAAGTCCTCCTGGATAATGGAGAAATTAACAATACTTAGTACTTATCTTCTTCCAAGAGCTATATAAACATGGACTAACCCTTACTGCACTGCAGTATTATCACCATTTCACAGATGAGAAACCTGAGGCTCACTGCTTAGGCCAAAATTTTCAAAAGTGGCCATTAATTTTGGGTGCCTCTATTTTTGGTTGCTTATCTTGACACCTGTAGGGCATGATTTACTGAGGTGTCGAGGATCCACAGATCCCGCTGACTTTAGCTGGAGTTGTAGGTATTGAGCACCACTAAAACTCATGGCTTGTGTATCTCATATTGAGCCACCAGAAACTGACAGGTTTCAGAGTAGCAGCCGTGTTAGTCTGTATTCGCACAAAGAAAAGGAGGACTTGTGGCACCTTAGAGACTAACCAATTTATTTGAGCATAAGCTTTCATCAGCTACAGCTCACTTCATCCGATGAAGTGAACTGTAGCTCACGAAAGCTTATGCTCAAATAAATTGGTTAGTCTCTAAGGTACCAGAAACTGAGACACTCAAAATTGGTGAACACTTAAGAAGTTGTACCCTGAGCAACTTATTCAAAGTTACACAGAAAGAGCAGGACAGAACTAGGGGTAGAACCCAGTAACCCTGATTCCCAATCATGTACTTTAACCGTAAGGCTACCTTTCCTTGGTAGAGATTTATTCTGATCTTTTCCCATCTTCTTTCCCTGTTGGTTGTTATAATTAAGCAACCTCACAATAAGTATACTTACCGTATAGTTCTGCTCTGAAATGTCGCTAACAATAGCATCCCAATGACTCTAGGTCAAACTATTGTCTCCCAGTGCCTTGAGATCAAATTTGCTCAGTTAACAAGTAAAGAGATGGAGGGGTGGGGGTGTTTTATAACTACCAGCCAGCCCTTCAAATTCAGCTTGGGTTTTGAAAGGCAAGCTAGGTTCTTTCAGGCTAATACATTATCACCAGTGACTATGACCCAATGAAGCCCTTTAGTGATGTAGTTAGGCTGCAGTTGAGATGGACACCTCAAGGCAAAAACTAATGGAGTTGGAACTTAATTCATAATGCAAGAGCCACAACAGAATCCGTTTCTCTTTCACTTAACTCATTGGCTCAGCGTGGAGTAGCAGTAGTAAAACACGGTGAAAACAACTACCATTATAGCACTTTAAGTTCCCTGTGAAACAGATTTTATCACCTAACTTGAAACAGCTGAACCTACTTCTTTCTCAATTAAAAGATAAACTGGATCTGTACACTATGATTATAGCATTTCCAGGATCAGTGATGAAGAAAACAAAATCATCACAGAGTTCCCTCTATCACTAATGATCAAATTCAATGACTGGCTGAATATCAATTTTTCCCTTGCAGCCATACTCCACAGAAATCATGGCTATAGGCCTTCTGTCTTTGAAGACATATTGGTTTAAATATTGGTGCTTGGAGAGAACAAACTGGCAACATAAATGGAAAAGTTAGAAAAAGAGGATAAAATTGGTATTTCAGAAATGGCTCTGTATGTCCCTGTTGTGCTGTTGGAAGTGCCGTCTTCAGATCAAAATGAAACTCAGGATCGTGTAATGAGTAAAGGGATGTGTAATGAGTAAAGGTCTGCTGATGCTTTTTGCAAGAGTTACTCTGTGTGTAACTTTGGTTTGTCATCAGACAGTCATCATTCAAAATCTTGTACTGAGCAAACTACAGTTTGGATAATTACGTTTTGACTATTCACTTCCTCTTGGCCTTATGACTTTTTAAACCAAACTTTGGACTTTGGGATAATTTAAGCATTATACCCACATGTATAGAAACTCTTTTTTTAACCTGTGTATTAGATAATTTTAACATTAGTTTAAAATGTTTAGTAAAGCTAATATTACATATGTATTTATTGACATTTTTATATATAAAATATCTTCTTTCCTTCCAATTCCCCTCTCCTTTGCTCCACCCAAACTTCATAATGAACAACTCTTTTTGGGTCCTTCTCCCACACTTAACTCCTTGCCTTATTTCACACAACTGTATATGACGGGAACCCCCATCCTGCCCTTTTCCTCCATACTTTCACCCTCTCACCCTTCAAGCATCTCTACAGGACACATTTCCTGTAATCCATCATCCTTCCCTCCAAGTAAACTGGATCTTGTAGGTGCTTTACAATCAAAAAAGAAGAAAACACCTACCAGGTTCTCTTTTGGGAAACTAGATCTTGCATTTGCAAAGGGACAGATTTCAAGGGGGGGAAATGGGGTGGGGTTGGTAGAACAGCAGCTACATGGATCCACTAACCATTGCCCCTGTGGAGGGAAGTTTTAGGGAAAGAGAGGGCTCTCGTCTGACAGAAAGGAATCCTCTTCTTCCTACATTCCCTCATAGAGAAGCCCTGGACACATCCCACTGTTTGGCCTATGATTCCCAGGTCTTGACTCTATGTCATCCACATAGAAATATTAGTATTTTGCTTCTGCTACAAACCGATTCCAAGGCAGAGCACAAGATAGGGATACTGGAGCTGCCATTCCAGGACAAAAAGAAAAGGAGGACTTGTGGCACCTTAGAGACTAACAAATTTATTTGAGCATAAGCTTTGATGCATCCGATAAAGTGAGCTGTAGCTCACGAAAGCTTATGCTCAAATAAATTTGTTAGTCTCTAAGGTGCCACAAGTCCTCCTTTTCTTTTTGCAGATACAGACTAACACGGCTGCTACTCTGAAACCCATCCCAGGACAGTCCACCAATCCTCCCGATCCAGTATGGTGGCTGGATACTTCATCCTTCAGAAGACCCCACTGAATACCAGGCCAGTTGTGCAATGTCATATCATATGCAGGGTGTGTGTATTTTTAGTGACTCACTTCCCCATCCCTTAGGCAAACAAGTGGGATTTGAGCTGCCATTCATTAACATCAGGTCTATCTTGTCCTGGTGTGTATTGTGCAGCCTCTTCTCTACTCTGCATGCAGCACATGTGTCACTCACTCAGCAAAGTGACATGAAGAGCAGAGGCAGTGACATGAAGAGCATGAGGAGGATCAATAGCAACACCAAGACTAGATTCGTGTGTGAGGTGTTCTCAGATTCAGGTTCCATTAGCCTCCACTGTCAAATAGCTGTTTTCAGGACATGTGTCACCATGTTCAATACCAAATATCCCTCAAGGGGAATTTTACATAGTTTGTTATCCTTCTATATAATCCTCCTTTCATTCCCATAAAGCCTTTCATTAATGCATTACAAAAAATAATTAAGTCTCATTAATAGGTTTGATAATTATCCCCATTTTACAGCCTGGGGAAACGGAGGCACAGAGGGATTTTAAGACTTGGTTCCGTGGCCAAGAATGGACCCCAGGAGTGCTGAATGCCAGCCCTGTGCTCCGACCACCATCCCATACGCTCTCCAACACAAATACAAAACTTTATTTTTCCCCCAGTAACCCTGCGCTGCCTTAGTTGATGACCAGTTCAATTTCCATATGGCCCAACTGAATCGACACATTTTTTACAGAGAATCTAAACATTGTCAACGGGAAAATGTAACCGGCCTGAGACCCAACACCCGAGGCTATATTTATGAGTGAATAAAACAATCTCCATGCAGCCAAAAAAGAGTCATTCCAATGTAACCAGCCCAGGCAACAACACACCCAGAACACACGGCGGAAGAAGCAGGGTCCTGTGCCTCTGCCCTGCTTGTCCACCTGCCGCAGACAGCCACCCGCTTCCTCCGGCTCCTCGGGTCTCGCCTGCGCGTGCATTTACACCCTCCTCAAGGGCAGCTGCGCGTCTTCGCGGCTGTGCACCCCCTGTAGGTGCATCTGCAGCCCTCGGCGCCTGTGCCCCTCCTACAGCTCGATGCATGAGCGTGGCTGGTGACTGTACCCCCCCACACACAGAGGGGCCGGCACATCTCGGAGTGGCTACACACCTGGGAGCCGCATGCCCACGCCCTGCAGGTGCACCGACCCCTGCCGGAACCCCCCCCCCCCCGGGTGTCTCTAGCCCCTTTCCACAGGGGCGGGTGCACCGGCGGCGGGCAGCGCCCCCCCCCCGGCCACCCGAGCTCGGGTCACCCTCCCCCCCGCACCTGGGGAGCCGCCGGCAGGGTCTGCCCCCGCGCGGCGCGGTGTCTCCTACCTGCCTTCAGCGCGGGAGGGACGCGGGCTGCGAACCTTCCGCCGGGCGCGCGCTGTCTGCTGCCCAGCCCCGCAGCTGGCGCCCCGATAGCCGCCGCCTTATCGAGGCTGCCTGTCCCGTCCGCCCCCCGAGCCTCTGCTTCCAGGAAGCGGCGGCTCCGGGCTGCTGGTTGCGCTGCTGGATGCGGATCGCCCTGTTCCGTTCGCTGCCTCTCTCCCCCTCTCTCCCCCCATCCTGGCAGGGGGGCTGGGAAAGTGCAGCGAGACTCCAGCACATGCTGAGCCTGCGGTCACGGCCCGGACCCTCTGCTATTCATCACGAAGCATCCCAGGCGCTCTCTCCTCCAATCCCCACCGTGCTGCAGGCTAATGGCAAACAGGCTGGGCCCTGGCGGACTCCCTGCCCGCCCGCACCCCGTTCCTGCCCCTCTTCCCACCTCGCCTTCTCCCCGGCCCCTGCCTTTCGCTGCCCATTTCCTTCTTCTCCCAACTTTTCTTCCCCTTTCTCCCCCCATCCTTAGCCACTACCTCTCCCACCTCCTTCTCCCCTGTCCCTAGTCTCACACTCTTCCCCTCTCCTTGGCCCACCCCACTCCTTTCCCTCGGTTTTAATCCCCCCTTCTGAAAGGGTGCTGAACCTGGTTTGCCCTGCACTACCCTTGCAGCTAGCGCATGTTTGGGGCAGGTTCCACTGCACCCATTCCCTATACCAGGGGCCACATGCGGCTCTTCAGAAGTTAATTTGCAGCTCCTTGTATAGGCACCGACTCCGGGGCTGGAGCCAACTTTCCAATGTGCCGGAGGGTGCTCACTGCTCAACCCCTGGCTCTGCCACAGGCCCTGCCCCCACTCCACCCCTTCCTGCCCCCTCCCCTGAGCCTGCAGTGCCCTCACTCCTCTCCCCTCCCCCGCCCCAAGCCTCCTGCATGCCAGGAAAGTGCTGAGGTGTAAGGAGGGAGTGGGAGGCGCTGATCTGCAGGGCTGCCGGTGGGTGGGAGGCACTGGGAGTGGGGTGGGTGAGCTGATGCGGGGGCTGCTGATGTATTACTGTGGCTCTTTGGCAACGTACGTTGGTAAATTCTGGCTTCTTCTCAGGCTCAGGTTGGCCACTCCTGGCCTATACCCATTGTCAGTAACAGGCACCTTTGCTTCTGCAGACAGGCCAGTTTCCTTCTGCAGACCGGCCAGTTTTGCTCAGTTTTCACTCTTTCTTGTCTTTTGTCATGTCACACTTTCATAGCTCTCATAGAGACTTCGCCGGTTAAAAGCCTGCATTTATAACATACAATACCAACAGCATATCTCCCATCCCCATCCCTTTCTCCCCAGACCACTCCCACACAAACACACACCCCTTTTCTTTTTAACAAAACCCTATAAATAACAAATCCAAACACACAAACCAATATTTCCCTCTTTGCAGGTCGCCTCCCAATCTAAATCCAGGCTTTGGAGCTGCAATTTTGCTTTCACCTTGGTTTTCTGCACCATTTTTACAATGAAGCCAAGTAACAGGCCTTTCACTGTCACCACAGAAGTCTGGTCCTGGTCCTCTGAGGTAACTGAGTTGCCTTTCATGGGAGATGTGGCTGCTCAGTACCTGCCAAGTTTGGGCCTTCTCGATTTGTTCAGCCCTGCTGGTGGGCTCAGCACCATTCAGAACAAACAGGAGATGTTTCATCCTGTCTCCCAGAGTTTAAAACCTTAAAAAAATAAAAATCCACCAAGGAAGACTCTCAAAGCACCTAGTGAGGACAGGCCCAGTAAAAAGAACCTAATAGGACAACGTTATTTGTTTTCTTACAAGCTTCCCTGAGGAGAAGATTAATACTCTCTTCATGTCAATCTTTATGGCAGAGAGATGTGTGTTTTGAGGAAGGAATTGAAATAGGAGAGGGGTGGTTCTTCTTGTGAAGTTGGCTATGGAGGGCATTTCAGGCACAAGGAAATGCATGAGGGAAGCCATGGAAATAAGAGTGGGAAGAGAAAGCAGAAAGGCAGGAGGTTCTGGTTGAGAAAAGAGCTCAAGGGCTGAAGGGGTATGGAAAGTAGGAGGAAGATATTTGTGCTGAAATGTAGGCAGAAGGGGAGATGGTACCAAATCTTAAACATAAAGACAGGGATCCTGACTTTCAGATCCAGGAAGGTAGTTAAGCACATCCAGAACTACATGAAAAATCCCACTTGCTTATGTACCTTCCTGAATTGGAGCCTTTGTATGCTCATGTCTTTTCTTGGGAGTTGGACTATATGGAAAGGGATGAGTTGGAGCAGAGGGAAGGTCAGGATATCTTTTGAAAGCCCAAGGGGGCTGCAACAATGGCTGAACTCCCATAAACCAAATGTGTCTTAAAAGTGACCTGCAGGGGAAAATGGGATTGTGTTTTGTATGAGATAGATATAGATACATATGGAGAAAAAGAGAGAATTTATTGTGGTTACAAAGTGGTTAGTAAATAGTAAAAGTTTATTTCAGTGTAAAAATGTGTATTCCCACATTTAAATTCACTTGTTTCAAAATGGGTATGACCTTTGATGTATATTTATAAATTACATTGAGAAATAAACTCTTCACAGATCTGAACTAAAAATTTATAATCCATGGTTTTATGTAGTCTTTTTAAAAGTTATTAGCTTCCTTGGCTTATGATTTAAATAACAAGCAGATAAATTATTAAACAATCTTAATTATAAGGTTAGTTATTGTACAATGAAACAATTGTTTTTATAGACATAGGCTAATGCTATCATTACAAAGTAAAATTATATTTAACATCAATCATAATAACTACTCACATAATCCAAATATGTTTAACATTCATTCTGAATAGATTACATGTATGATTTCATCCTAGTAAATCTATTTGAAAATACCAGATGCACAAGTAATGTGCATATTGCCCTCTACTGGATACTTTTTGAATTCCCTGTACAATTCAATGTAATACATTATTGGAGGCTGAGGGGGACATTGTTTAAGTAATGTTAAACAGACCTGCCAAATTTAATCTGAAGGGAGACTCCTTTGTTTTGCATTAATTTAAAGGGAGTTTAAAAGCATATCCCTCTTATGCAGAAGGATTTTTCTTTGTGTTTGCAGTGAGACATTACAAATCTCAGACCTATGGCTTATATGAGATTTATTATGTTCCATCCTTAATCTTGTGTGAAAGCTCATATATCACATATGCACTGTAATACCTTAGACACATAAGACTGTGTTAAGGATACAGGGTCAGATTCTGAACTCAGTTACACCAACGACATTTGAGTTTTGCAGCGTCTTCAATGTGACGGAAATTTAATGGAACCATTATTTTTCTTAATATGTATATTATTAATGGATCCTGGGGGCCATAAAATGTCAGTGAAAGTGTATGAAGAATTTGCAGATGGACACAGTAACCCACACTATTTCCTTTTGAGCTGAACAGTGGAGCCTTGAATCCATATTTCATTGACAACATACTCTGGATCCCTTGGAACCAGTACTGAGGACAGTGTCTACTGGAGCTTGCGTATATCTTGTGTATACCTTGGCAGCAGCCATGTCACTTTGTGTTGTGATACTATTAGAATACACATGCTGTGCTGGGTCAGTACTTGGATAGACCTCAAACAAATAACTGAGGCTACATCTACACTGCCAGTGGGGGTGTAATTTGCAGCTTCTGTAGACATAGCCAGGCTAGCTTTAATATCTAGCTCACTAAAAATAGGAGTGAGGACGCAGCAGCATTGGCTTAAGTGCAGGTTAGCAATGCGCATATGTAACCAGGGGGCCAGGTGGGCTTTGACAACCCATGGTAACACTTCCCTATTGCTATTTGCAGCAAGCTAACTAGGGCCATGTCTACACTACACATCTGTGTAGACAAAAATGACGTTGACACCCAAAAGTCAACATGTTAAAAATCACGATTTTGTGTTCACACTTGCTCCCTCTGTCAGCAGATTGCATTCACAGTGGGGACACCACTATCAACAGTGTGAGCAATGCACTGTGGGTACCTATCCCACAGTTCTTCTGTCACTAGGAGTTATGGGACGACGGAGCAGAACACAGCACATCTTGGTACAGTGCTAAATGTCCCATGATGCATTGCTTTCTGTCCCAGCACTCCATGGGCTTCTGGCTTTCTTTCACGGCATTTTTTCAATGGCCCTTCTTTGCTGTGCACCCCGGCATATCTGTGAGAAGGGATTGATCCTGCACGGCTCTCCTATGCTCTGTTAACTGTCATGAAGACATCGCAGATGGCAGTGTAGTTTATCGTGAAGTTCCTAACTGAAGAAGACTTGCAGGCGCCTGACGTTCTTCATGACATGGATAGGAGCAACTTGAGATTGCTTTGGGCATTCACAGAGCAGGTGCACAGGGTAGACTGTCGCTTTGGGGTTCAGGAAACAAGCACTGAAAGGTGGGATCTTACCGTCACGCAGGTGTGGACTGATGAGCAGTGACTACAGAACTTGCGAACTTGTGGAAAGCCACCTTCCTGTAACTGTGTGTGGAGCTTGCCTCAGACCTGCGGCACAAGGACACCAGAATGAGAGCTGCCCTCTCAGTAGAGAAGCGTGTGGCAATTGCTGTGTGGAAGCTGGCAACTCCAGACTACTACCAGTTGGTCGCAAATCAATCTGGAGTGGGGAAGTCGACTGTTGTGGCTGCGTTAATGCAAGTGTGCAGGGCAATAAATCGCATCCTGCTACAAAGGACTCTGGGAAATGTGTGTGAAATAGTGGATGGCTTTGCAGAAATGGGTTTCCCTAACTGTGATGGGGCGATAGATGACACACATATTCCAATTTTGGCACCAGACCACCTTGCGACAGAGTACATCAATAGGAAGGGGTACTTCTCCATGGTGCAGGCACTTGTGGATCACCATGGGCATTTCACTGACATCAAAGCAGGTGGTCTGGGAAGGTGCATGATGCACACATCTTCAGGAACACTGGCCTGTATAGAAAGCTGCAAGTGGGGACTTTCTTTCCTAACCAGAAGATTACAGTGTGGGGTGTTGAAATGCCAATAATGATCCTGGGGGACCGTGTGTACCCCTTACAGCCCTGGCTCATGAAACCTTACACGAGACACCTGGACAGCACTAAGGAGCAGTTCAACAACAGGCTCAGTAGGAGCCAGATGACAATTGAATGTGCCTTTGGCAGATTAAAGGTGCGCTGGTGATGCCCTTATGGCAGGTTGGACCTCACTGAGGATAATATTCCTATGGTCTTAGCCGCCTGCTGTACGTTGCATAATCTCTGTGAAGCTAAGGGTGAAAGGTTTGCTCAGGAGTGGAGTGCTGAGGCAGACCACTTGGTTACTGATTTTGAGCAGCCAGATACCAGGGCTGTCAGAGGAGCCCAGAAGGGAGCTATTCCAATCAGGGAGGCTTTGAGGCAGCACTTTGACAATGATCACCAGTAACATATATCTCTGTCTGAGTTGGTTCAATGTTACATTACATGTAGCTTTCCTAGGGGGCAATGGTGACATTTGTGGCCTTATATTCCTGTAATAAAGTGATTTAAATGCCTGGGCATGTATTGGCGGTGCCTGCAATCTCACCTTGTAGAAAAAAATTAAAGATGATTTACCATTATAAAAGTTTGCTTTTATTGCACAGGAAATAGCACACACAAACACACAGATGCTTGGTGGGAAAGGAAGAACCAGTAAAGGGCAGACTTTCACAGCTGTGTGTAGGTCCAGCTGTCATTGTGAAAGTTGTCTGAGGGGGTGAAGTGAAGCGGAAACCGAGAAGTCCCAGAAGGTGGAAAGGAATGTGTGGGCGGAGTTGGGGGGGGTGTTGACTGGATTTAGAATGGCCGGAGACCAGTCAAGAGATTCGTCTCCCTACCCACCTCTATCATCGGCGTTTTAAGATTGCCCAAAGTAAAAACTAACAAGGAAGTGCAGGAGTAAAACTCAGGTATGTTTATTAGACTAACAACAGTTCAACAAGGTAAGAAAACTGGGTATACTTTAAGGGACTCCCAAAACAGGTAAGTAAAACAAACTGGTAAAGGTGACATTATAACTATACTGACTGTGTCCAAAAGGGTTTACTCCCTCCCCAAGACGGATGTCAGGTAAGGGATATGAAGGACTTAAAAGGTCTCTACCATTTCTTACAGCTTATCTGGAGCATCCTGACCTCATGGCACAAAGCGGGTCCGGAACTGACCAGATGACTCGGCAGGGTGAGAAGTGGACCCCAGGCAACTGATAAGTGGTAACTGTGATTTTTCTTCCTTCTTCCCTGCAGCGTCATGGGTGCAAGTAAGATCTGGATGAGATCTTCTGCATGCAAGTATGTTAAACCCTCCCACAACCCTAAGGCACGGTGCTCTGGCATACACACCTGAGTACAGCACTCTGCCACTTAGACGGGCAGCACCCTCCCTCAGACATGCTAGCCCTTATATGCCCTACTGTTACTGGACAGATTGCATGTCACATGGTTGCCCGGTTTCCCGCCTTTTGGCAAAAAAGGGCGGGAAACTATCTCTAAGGAGGAGGAAGAAAGGCAGCAAAGATGGATTCCTAGTTGTTGTTGTTGTCAGGAATTCAAAATGGTGTATGGATATTAACAACAAAAACAGAAATATGGAAATTCTCCCCCTACAAGGGGGCATGGAAAAGAGTTCTGAATGTGCTGCAGTGGAGGTCGAGCACTGATCTCCTCAGTCTGCAGCATTATTAAGGACTTCAGCATCTGCGTTTGCTCCTCCATGACTTTAAGCATCCACTTAGTAGCATCCTTAACAAATGCGTGATTCTCTTTTCTGTCCTGCCGTTCGGCTTCCCAGCACTCCTTTCACAACCTTTTTTCTGCATTGCAGCACTGCAGGACCTCCTGGAACATATCTTCTTTGCTGCATCTTGGGCGCTTTCTTATCTGGTGGAGACGCTCGGCCGGGGTGCATGGGGTGTTCCTGAAGGCTACATCTGGTGAAACACAGGGGACAATGCACAGAAGTGGGATTGTTAAATTCACGCACTGCATTGAAACATTTCTGTTAAATACACCTTTTGCAACATTGCCATCACTTTCTCACTGACCCTAGCAAGGCACACATCTCTGCGAACACTCAAAGCCTGGTGAGTGTTGGCGGCGGTGGGGGCGCTCTACATGGGGAAAAGAGCACACACTTTTTGAAAGGGTTGTGGCGCAGCACTCTGCGGAACAAATTCTAAAATTCTCCCACACTTTTCCACAGGCAGGGGTAATTCTAGCAGACATCTCACTGCTAAGGGTAAGCAGGGAAACACGGGTACATCTACTCCATGCTTGTGGCTTCCACCCTGCTCCCTATACTGCTCGCCTATGTGCCACTTTGGTCCCTGCACAAGTGATTGCTGAATGGCGTGGGAAAGTTTCCTACAGTGGGGGAAGGAACAAAGCTGCTCTGCCACGGAACCCTCGGCAGAGGATTGCCGAGTACTCCCAGGAAACTTTCCTGGAGATCTCTCTCGATCTCGGCGTGCATCAACACCCTGTTCTGCCGCACCAATTAGCTACACAGGGAAATGTCCACCTCACAGAAACACAGCCAGCCTCCCACATTTCTATACCCCAAACCCACCTTTGCACTAGACAAGCCACAGCCACTTACCAGGAGTTTCATCTCCTGCTTCTTGTTCGCTTGAGAGCGACTGCTGAGACTGGCTAGACACCTCTGGAGTGGAGAACAGTTCCTGGCTGCCTGCCCCATCAGGTGACCCCGCTGGGAGCTGCACATCCTTATCTAACTCCACCTCTTGATCAATAACTTTGTCCTCCGGGTTAGGTCCTCTTTCTGCTGCCTCCGTGCGCTCTGAAGTATCCATAGGGCTCTTGGCGATGGAGGTGGGGTCGCCACCAAGGATAGCATCCAGCTCCTTATAGAACTGGCTGGTCTTAGGTAAAGCAACTGAGCGACAGTTTGCCTCCCTCGCCTTATGGTACTCCTGCCTCAGCTCCTTTATCTTTGCTCTGCACTGCAGTGTGTCCCAATCATAGCCCTTTTCGCACAAGCTTCAAGAAATCTCCCCATCGGTATCCCAATTCCTATGGCTCAAGTGCAGCTGGGACTGCACAGCCTCCTCTCCCCATATACTGAGCAGATCCAACATAGAATCATAGAATATCAGGGTTGGAAGGGACCTCAGGAGGTCATCTAGTCCAACCCCCTGCTCAAAAGCAGGGCCCATCCCCAATTAAATCATCCCAGCCAGGACTTTGTCAAGCCTGACCTTAAAAACTTCTAAGGAAGGAGATTCCACCACCTCCCTAGGCAACGCATTCCAGTGTTTCACCACCCTCCTAGTGAAAAAGTTTTTCCTAATATCCAACCTAAACCTCCCCCACTGCAACTTGAGACCATTACTCCTTGTCCTGTCCTCTTCCACCACTGAGAATAGTCTAGAACCATCCTCTCTGGAACCACCTCTCAGGTAGTTGAAAGCAGCTATCAAATCCCCCCTCATTCTTCTCTTCCGCAGACTAAACAATCCCAGTTCCCTCAGCCTCTCCTCATGAGTCATGTGTTCCAGACCCCTAATCATTTTTGTTGCCCTTCGCTGGACTCTTTCCAATTTATCCACATCCTTCTTGTAGTGTGGGGCCCAAAACTGGACACAGTACTCCAGATGAGGCCTCACCAATGTCGAATAGAGGGGGACGATCACGTCCCTCGATCTGCTCACTATGCCCCTACTTATACATCCCAAAATGCCATTGGCCTTCTTGGCAACAAGGGCACACTGCTGACTCATATCCAGCTTCTCGTCCACTGTCACCCCTAGGTCCTTTTCCGCAGAACTGCTGCCCAGCTATTCGGTCCCTAGTCTGTAGCTGTGCATTGGGTTCTTCCGTCCTAAGTGCAGGACCCTGCACTTATCCTTATTGAACCTCATCAGATTTCTTTTGGCCCAATCCTCCAATTTGTCTAGGTCCCTCTGTATCCTATCCCTCCCCTCCAGCGTATCTACCACTCCTCCCAGTTTAGTATCATCCGCAAATTTGCTGAGAGTGCAATCCACACCATCCTCCAGATCATTTATGAAGATATTGAACAAAACCGGCCCCAGGACCGACCCCTGGGGCACTCCACTTGACACCGGCTGCCAACTAGACATGGAGCCATTGATCACTACCCGTTGAGCCTGACAATCTAGCCAACTTTCTACCCACCTTATAGTGCATTCATCCAGCCCATACTTCTTTAACTTGCTGACAAGAATACTGTGGGAGACAGTGTCAAAAGCTTTGCTAAAGTCAAGATACAATACATCCACTGCTTTCCCTTCATCCACAGAACCAGTAATCTCATCATAGAAGGCGATCATCATAGAACAGCTCTGCAGTGGTCCAAGCGGGAGAGTGTTTGCTGCGTTAACCCGCCATGGTCATCTGGGAAGATGCAATGAGACCTCTCCAGGCCAAGCAAACAGGAAATGGAATTTCAAAAATTCCCAGGGCTTCTAAGGGGGAGGGAGAGAGGATGGATGGTTGTTTACCTGGCTGCAGGGCAGTGGATTCAAACTGCTGACCAGAGTGGTCAGGATGGGCATTGTGGGACACCTCCTGGAGGCCAATTAAAGCAATGAAATGAAGCGTGGTGTCTACACTTGCACTTTGTCGACCAAAATATAGAGGAAAAAGATGTAAATCTTTCATGAGGGTGGATGTATTCTGTTGCCAAAACCGGGCCTTTTTCCCAACAAAAGTTGCCTAGCAGTGTGTATGCACTCACTGTTTGGGTCGACAACCGGCAGTTTTGGTGAGAAAAATTGGTAGTGTAGACCAAGGCCTTGGTTAAAACTAGTGCAGATACATCTACACAAGCTGTAAATTACACCATCAGTTGCAGTGTGGACACAGTCTGAGAGTTGCAAGAAGTGTTGATGACTCAGTAGCTAACATTCTTTCCTCTGGATTAATGCTGTTCTATAGAAGAGTCAAAAAGGCTCTCCTGGAGTGAGTATTATTATTTATATACTGCTATCAATGTGCAAGGTGCTTTTCCCCATCAGGTACGAAGAAAAAGTCATCAAACAACTTACTGTGGAGTTTTCAGTCTAAATTCTGTCGCTGGGAATGAGACAAACTGAAGTTCTGACCAATGAACAGACTACACTAGCACTACTGCGGGTGGACCTGCAGCAATGGGAAATGGTAAGAGAAAAAGTCTTGTACAGATACAGCCTTAATCCCCCTGGGTCTCAATTTTTCCACCTGTAAAATTGGGATAATAGTACACACCCACCTGTGAGGATTAAGTAATTAATGTTTGTAAAGTACTCTGAAGATGGAAAGGATTAAATATTATCTACTGTTTTCTTCAAGCCAATTTAGAAATAAAAAGAAATAATAAATCATTAAGCTATAAACATAGCTGGGACGAGAGCACTGTGATTAGCACTACTTTGTTCAGTTAATTACTTTCCTTTTAAACAAATCCAGAGTTGTTTTATGCAAGGGGGAGTCCAAGGTTAAAAAGGATAAAAACCGTTTTTAAAAAAGACAAATCGGATTACTTAGTTGCAACACCCCCCAATAGAACAAATCAATAAATTAGGGCCATCGCTCAGTTTTAGGCTCATAATAAAGATGCATCCAAAACAAGCACACATAGATGCAAAAGCCTGTATTCTAGCCAACAGCAGCCCGTGCCCAGGAATAATCACAGAAGTATGTTTCGGACCCACCACTGCCAGGCCAGACACACACTCACATAAACATGTGCATCACATCTGTCCTATAGGCCCTACCACAAAACGGCTGTTCTCAATTCTCCCTCCTGAGTCCTCTGACAAATACATATGTGCAAGAATTTGACTTGAGCCCCAATCCTGCAAACAGTTCTGCATGTGCTTAATCTTAACTCAATGTGACTGCTCATGTGATTAAATTTAAGCATGTGTGCAAGTATTTGCAAAATCAAGGTCATAATTCATACAGCACCATAAGCAGATATTTATTCATTAGCTGGCATGATGTCAAGACAATTTTACACTTTTAAAAAGCTGGACAAAATCAATGTTACAAAAAAAATCACCTCACTGGCAAATTAGCATATTTTATTACAGAAAATAACACATATATAAAACATTATAAATCACTGAATAAACATTTACTAATCAATTAATCTTCACAACATCCCAAGTAGGTAGATAAATATTGTTATCCTCATATTATAGTGAGGGTAGCCAAAGCAGAGATTAAATGATTTGCTGGAGTGGAGACCATACAGTGAGTCAGTGGTAGAACCAGGATTAGAATTCTTGTGTCCCATCCCTCTGGTCCAGGGGTGGGCAAACTTTTTGGCCCAAGGGCCACATCGGGGTGCGAAACTGTATGGAGGACCAGGTAGGGAAGACTGTGCCTCCCCAAACAGCTTGGTCCCTGCCCCTTCCCACTTCCTGCCCCGACTGCCCCCCTCAGAATCCCCCCCTTCTTGTCCCTTGACTGCCCCCTTCCAGGACCCCCCACCCCTAACTGCCCCCTGGGAGCCCACCCCCTACCCCCGTCCCCTGACCGCCCCTCCCCTGAACGTCCGCCCCATCCAACCACCCCCTGACTGCCCCCCAGGATCCCCTGCTCCATATCCAACCCCCCAGCCCCGGCCCCTTTACCATGCTGCTCAGAGCAGCATGTCTGGAGCTGTGCCACCCAGCCAGAGCCAGACACGCTGCTGCCCTGCACGAGCGTGAAGCCTCGCCACCCAGAGCGCTGCCAGCACAGCAGCATGGCTGCAGGGGAGGGGGAACAGCAGGGGAGGGGCTGGGGGCTAGCCTCCCCCGGCAGAGAGCTCAGGGGTCGGACAGGATGGTCCCGTGGGCAGGATGTGGCCCATGGGCCATAGTTTGCGCACCTCTGCTCTGGTCACTCCTCCAAACTATGCCATCTTTCCATACGTGAGATAATAGGCGTTCTTAAGAAAAGTAGACAAGACAGATAATGTACAATACCGGCTTACTGAACCAATGAATAATTTTAAATACATCATCTTTGGATCCATACATTTCTTCTTCTAGATTTTATAAACAAGCTGGTAAATTCCCTTTTCAATTTTTTACAGATATGGAAATACATTTGTTAAGCCTTCCCAGTTACCCATAGAAAAACACTGTAAAAACCTAATTGGCAGAGGAGTAGTGCTCATGAGTTGACGGAGTAAGGTCATTTAGGGATTAGCTATGCACAGAAGTTGTACTGCTTTAAATATAGAGATATAGTTATATCTGTACAACCTTCAAGTGTGGACACAATTATACTTATTTCTGTACAGAAAGACAATAAGGTATTCTAGTATAAGATACCTTTATACCCCTATAGCTGCATCCCCACCAGGAGTTGTATTGGTATAACTATTTTGGTAAAAAAAATCACACCCCTTAACTGAAAAAAATCTGTATAAAGACCATGTAAAGCAGCTTGGGCTTGCAGATTTTGCAGGTCTGATGCAGGAAAAGCCTTCCACAGCAGCTGGCACTGCATGATCGGAACTTTAACTTTTAGCTTTGATGGAAAACTGTTTGGATCTGATTTAGGACATTAAGAAATGTGATTTATCATCTCAGCCCATTCCACAGCAAATATTTGCCCTTGTTATTTGCTTTAATATTATTATTATTAGCACATAAACCAAATCATCAGGCAATTGGGGTTAATTGGCAGGCTTTGCTCAGGACAAACCCAGTGTGGCATATTATTAGTTATATATTACCACAGGTGTGCCTGATACTTTACATATATAAAATAAAACAAAGTCCTTGCCCTAAAGAATCTAATGTGTGGTATATAGGTTTATATATCATGGACAGCATCAGGAATGTTAAGGAAGGAATGAAGTGCATGTACAGGACTATGAGTGGACCTTGAGCTAGAGCTATACATTTTTCACATTCATGAACATTAAATGCCATAGAAAATGTGTTGTTTATCTGTATGATCACTGTACTATGTGTGCAAGAGGGAAGCAATCTGGTCACACAAGCTTATGTAGCGTTCTGACAAAGCTGCATTTATCTGAGGCAGAGAGAAAGAGAGTGTTAAATTCCTTTTATTTTTTTCTCTTTAAGAGTAATGAATAACTACATTGCATTTTTGGAAGGGAGAAGCTTCAGTACGAAGTAGGGTGAATGGGTGATGTGTCAAATAAAAGCTGTTAATGATGCCAAACATGATGGTTTACAAACTTCAAATCCTTTTATGAAAAGGAAGTGTAAGAACCTATGTTATGACCTTCCTATGTCTATCTTTCTCTTTTCTATACAACTCCCACTGATATTTTTTTCCACTTATTTGCTAATATTGAACAAAACTACCATTGGTTTCAATGGGTTCCTGATTAAACCAAATCTATCTAATCTACTGGGCCCTATTCTGATCTGACACTTTAAATGAAGAGTAACTTAATTGAAATGTAAAAACAGTGCCAGCCCTGGTCTACAATAGAACATTTTACCACTTCTGAACCACACTGTTGTCAACAAAACCAACGAGGAGACCGGTGGCACCTTAAAGACTAACAGATTTATTTGGGCATAAGCTTTCATGGGTAAAACCCCCCACTTCAGATGCAATCACCAACATGGTGCTAAATACAGGCCTAGTTCTACACTACAAACATTTGCTGTTATTGTAATGTCAGTTAAGAGGATGATTATTTATGAGATTTCTATTCGAGCTAAAGCCATAGTGTAACTGCAGTTTTAACGGCATAAAAGTGTTTTTGCTGGTATGGCTTATTTCACTTGGGGAATCAATATAAACTATACCAGTAAAAGCATTTCTTTTCTGGTATAAACTGTGTATTGTAGTTACACAAGGAAAGTTTGCCAGTACAACTATACCAATATAGCTATATCAGCAAATCTTTTCTAATGTAGACCTGGCCTATAAGTGTGATCAGAATCAAGATCTACATATAGTATAGATGCAGTGCCAATCACCACAGTAACTAAGCATTGAGTGTATGAGCCAAACCTTCCTCCTGCCCTTCAATCTGAATTTTATCCCTCAATGCAACCTTTCAGCTACTGGGTGTGTGGAATAACACACTATTTAAAAAGTAGTAACTCGTGGGATGAGAAAGCTACATTATGGGGGAATACTTGATGGTATTGGAGTTCTGACCTTGGTGGTAAATGTGGGTGAGAGGGAGTTAAAAAACAACAAAAAATTAACAACCATTTCTTCCGGCTATAAATAGGTCAGTAGAAACTAAACATTCCTTTCTTTGGGGGCAGTGAATAGTTTGAGTAAGTCTGAATCACAGGTTTTATGGAATTTGTGACTAAAATAGCTCTGTAATCTTGTGCTCCGCCTGGCATGGAAGTCCTTCCCCTCTCCTTACCTTTATCTGAAATCAAACTGTTCCTCACATTCCTTCCTTACACAACACTAGTTCATTGTGATGCAAGCTAGCTAGTGATTAATACCTTTTTATGAGGTTGGTTCCAGTGACTTGAGATTATATCACCATGGCTGTCTCAGAAAGCATGAGACCACACCCCATTGTGAGGAACTCCAACGACTCCTGGAATGCAAGAGAAGAAAAAAAAAGTCCTTAAAAGAATTCTAATAAATATGTAGCAATAATATCACCTGCATGGTTGTTTCAAGTGCTGGGACCTTCCTCCAGGCTTTTTCACATCAGAAGAAGGCCAATTCAATTGCTCTGCAAAGCCTTGGGAAGGCTGTGTTCTCCTCTGCACCTTCCCACCATGGTCTGGCAGAGCTGAGCAACTTGCTTGTAGAAGATGGCAGGCTTAGAAAAACAAGTTGAGCCGCTGCCCATCTCTAGTTTTTGGTAATTAGTAAACTGATAGAATTAGAGGTTTGATTCCACCCTGCTCACACAATGTAATTTCACTGACTTCTATTTACATCAATGTGAGAAAAGAAAAAGGCTCCAGACATAGATAAGAACTAGCAAGTCATGTAAGCATTCTCTTTTGCCAGTGTAAAGAAAACATAGACCAGAGAAGGCATAAGACTTGAACTGGATACCAACTGATTTGCTGGCAAATACTCATTGGACAACAACCTCTGTCTGTACTAATCAGCACTTGTCTGGCTGAGTTGAACCAGAGTGAGAGCTGCAGTTTCTTTGCCTTTGGTAGGGCTGGACTTGGACCTACATGATCTACTACATGCAAAATTGCGCTGGTTTAACTAAAGGTGTGATTTTGAACTGATTTAGTTAAATTAGTGCAACTTTGTGTGTGGATGCTCTTTTATTGGTTTAATCCTGATTTATATCCAAATATAAATACAAACCAGGACTAAACCAATATATAGTCATCACACTTACAAAGTTCATTCTATTACTGGTTTTAATAGAATTCCCCCTTTTAAGTATAGGGAATATTGCTGGATCTGGTAATATCTCTAAAACCAAATGAACTTTTTAAATGTGCCCAGTGAGTTGCACCAGTTACACTAAATAATTTTAAACCAATTTAAATCAAACTGGTGCAACTTCTTTGAGTATACAAAGCTTTAGAACTTGCATGACGCTGAGATGTTTGAGAGATGGATCAGTCTGTGAGTTGGTTCCTTTTCTGGGCCTGCCGCTGACAGAGAAGATAGGTTTCAGAGTAGCAGCCGTGTTAGTCTGTATTCGCAAAAAGGAGTACTTGTGGCACCTTAGAGACTAACAAATTTATTAGGGCATAAGCATCCGTGAGCTACAGCTCACTGCATCCGATGAAGTGAGCTGTAGCTCATGAAAGCTTATGCTCAGATAAATTTGTTAGTCTCTAAGGTGACAGAGAAGAGTGGCCAGAGAAGAGTGGCCCATAAATTCCAAATATGTAGCTCTGTTCTGTAATAATGACTATAAACTAATCTCATGCTCCATGGCTTCAGCTGGTTGCCTGAAGGGGATGAGAAGGATTTTTTCCTCCCAATGTACAATTATAATCTGGGAGAGGAAGGATACTGGTTGGGGTAGATCAGTGATCATCTGAGGTGGTATCAGGAATTGTGTTTTAGATGCCTGGCTGGTTTGCCCCCGCTCACATGCTCAGGTGATCCTCAGATTTGGGGCTCGGAAGAAATTTACCCCCGGTCACATTGGCAGGGATCTTGGGAGTTTTTCACCTTCCTCTGCAGCATGGGGCATGGATCACTTCCCAGGATCATCTTGGCATGTCTCACCTAATCAATTCCCAGCATTGGATGGGCCTCTCAGGGCATTGGCAGCAGTCTGTCCTCTGCCTGTGGCACAAGACAGTCTATTTTTCTGAGGACTGAAAGGCTTTAGTTTGACTGAAGTAATTGGGCCCAACAGGGCTATCTGAGAGAAATTTGATGGCTTCTGATGTGCAGGATTTAATGGTTATGATTTAATGGTCCTTTCTGGACATAAACTCCAGAAAACTATGTGCAGGAATCCCTAAAAGTGAAGGGCCTCACAAAGCTGATTATGTTTATTTGTAGTTGAAGCCAATCCTGATCTTTGGTGGGATACTACAGCCCTTATTTCCTTGAACACAGTCTCACAGCACCAAGAGGAGGCGTATTCTGTCCCCGTCCACATATTCCCAGCCTCACAGGGGTACTTTCACCCCCCCCCCCATGATCCCACTATAGGTGATGCACTGTGGCCCTCATAATCCCAGAATTGTGGGGATGAGTGCTTCTTTAATCCCAGTACCGGGTGGGGTACTATGCCCCCCACAATCCCAGCACCGGGGGGTTATTGTGCTCCCTGCAATCTAAGCACCGGGGGGTTACTGTGCCCCCCACAATCCCAGCACCGGGGGGTTATTGTGCTCCCTGCAATCTAAGCACCGGGGAGTTACTGTGCCCCCCACAATCCCAGCACTGGCAGTTACTGCGCCGCTGCAATGCCAGGATTAATCGGGCGGTGTGCTGAGTCCCCCCACACAATCCCAATTCTGAGCGTGGGTCTTTACCTACAATAACCTCAGGAGCAGGAGGGGACTGACACCTCCCAACCCCCCGCCTCGCGTGCGCCCTCCACTTTGGAAAGCAGGCGAGCAGGGGCTCACGTTGGACGCACGCGCACTGGCTGCAGGTGCGCCAACGCGCTCTTTCCCTCTCGTTCGCCGGGCGACAGGTGCGCATGCGCGCTCGCTGCAGGTGCACCGAGACTCCCCCTCCCTTTTGTGAGTGTCAGGCGCGCATGCGCTACCTGCCCCTAGCCCTCTCCTGGGAGCGGCAGGTGCTAGGCGCAGCCAGGCGTTCTGTGGGGCGGCTCTTCCCCCGGCCTGGGTGCGTGTGAGGAGGCGGCTCGGCGGCAGGTTGTGGCTGGGAGGCTGGGCTCGGAGCTGCCCGGGTTCTCCCCCTTCCCCCACAGCGCGCCCGGGGACACAGACCGTCTGGCGGAATGAACCGGACCCACCGCAGCGCTGGGGGTAGCCGGGGCCTGTGCACCATGGAAGTGAAGAGCAAGGTGGGTAGCGGGCCTAGGGCGACGATCCGTGAGGGGCCGCAGAGGGCGGACCGACCCTTTGGAGGGCGAGACCCCAGGAGAAGGGGCAGGGCGGGGGCGTCCGCTCCGTGAGGGGCCGCCGGGGGCAGGGCGAGCCCCAGTGGAGGCTGGGGGGGGGGGGGGGCGTCCGCTCCGTGAGGGGCCGCCGGGGGCAGGGCGAGCCCCAGTGGAGGCTGTGGGGGGGGGGGGGGGGCGTCCGCTCCGTGAGGGGCCGCCGGGGGCAGGGCGAGCCCCAGTGGAGGCTGTAGGGGGGGGGCGTCCGCTCCGTGAGGGGCCGCCGGGGGCAGGGCGAGCCCCAGTGGAGGCTGGGGGGGGGGGGCGTCCGCTCCGTGAGGGGCCGCCGGGGGCAGGGCGAGCCCCAGTGGAGGCTGGGGGGGGGGGGCGTCCGCTCCGTGAGGGGCCGCCGGGGGCAGGGCGAGCCCCAGTGGAGGCTGGGGGGGGGGGCGTCCGCTCCGTGAGGGGCCGCCGGGGGCAGGGCGAGCCCCAGTGGAGGCTGTGGGGGGGGGGGGGGGGCGTCCGCTCCGTGAGGGGCCGCCGGGGGTAGGGCGAGCCCTAGCCCCAGTGAAAATTGGGGCCCCAGCAGGAGGGGATCGTTGAGGAAGGGGGCTATCTGGGCTCAGGGAATCTCTTGTGGGAGCACACCCAGGGCTGCCTGTGAGTTGTCCCGGCATGGGGCTGGGCTGGTTCTGCACTGGGTGGATACTGTATGGGGTGAGGGGGAGCTGGGAGAGCTGCTGACTCACCTGCAGATGGCACCTTGCCAGGGTGGGGAGTATGTCTGCAAGGAAGATCCAGGTTGCCTAAGGGTAGAGGGGTGCATCTCCATCTTTTCAAGGGATCTAGGGCTGTTCCTTTTGCTTGGTCCCTGTGCCATGGCCTAGGAGCAAGATGTGGTATTAGTCAAACAGCTATCACCATAGGGTTGACACTAGTAATAATTAATGCTGGGTATTGTCCCTGTAGCCTTCTCTCAGCACTAGCCCCCTTGTCAGATCACTCTTCACTTTTTTTCCCCCTCTATCCCCAACAGGGTTGTAGATGATTATCCACTGCAAAACTTGATATTCTTTAACAAAAGTTACAGTATGACTTTACTAATTGGGCAGGCACACTGCTTTCCCTACAATTACTCTACAGAAGTGTAAAACAAGACTGAAAAGGTTCCCCCTGAAACTGAATGCAGACTAACAGAATGCAAACTATATAAAAAAACAAATGGAGACTATATAAGAAAGTTACTAGGAAAAAAAGGTGCTCAAAAATCAGTTTAGCTAACATGTTTTGAAATGCCCCTGATACTATGCTTTTTGACTAGACTAGGATAAGTGTATTTTTAAAAACATGCTAGCTAACATGTTAACATGATTTAAGGATCTTGTGTGAACAGAACAAAAATAAGTTGCCTTCCTAACATGTTTTTTTGGGGAAAAAAATCTTTTATCCTAGTCTATACAAGATCCTAATTTAGATGCTGTACAACAGCTCTGGAATCTTATCTGCTCATATAACCCACAATTGTCAAGGTGTTGAACGGTGTCTAAACGGGGTGTTAAGGAGTGTTTCATGTCATTTTAACTAAATTGACTTAGACAAGGCGTAATATCTTTTATTGGACCAGTTTTCAGAGTAACAGCTGTGTTAGTCTGTATTTGTAAAAAGAAAAGAAAAAGAAAAGGAGTACTTGTGGCACCTTAGAGACTAACCAATTTATTTGAGCATAAGCTTTCGTGAGCTACAGCTCACTTCATCGGATGCAACATTAAATGATATTAAATCTCAGTGTGAATGCTGTTGTTCAGAATTAATATGGCTGTAATTTGGTTTAGTTTAATTCATGCGGATCTAAAAAGCACATTTTCCCCTTGTCTAGGCAAGGCTTAAGAGTGCACATACACTGAGGAAACTTGTGTGTTTCTCCACTAGTGGAAGTTGTAATGCAGACTGGTTATAAACATTTTTACCAGTGTGAAGCCTAATCCTTAAATCCTGCGTCCTGTCTATTCTATAGATTCCATCTTAGTTTACAATAACTGGTAGCTTTAGTGTGGACAGGGAATATGCATTTTTAAGGGTTATGTGACATGGTGGTAAAAATATACCAGTATCTTCTGCTGTAGGTTGTATTGGTGCTAGAGCAAGTGAGGAACCATGGGAGAATTTCAGAAGATTTGTGTGAACAGAAGCTAAAGGATGATGGCACCTGCTGACCATGACTCCAAGTAGTAGTTAAGCATGAGTGAAACTATAGTTGCTCTGAAGTTTTATTCTAACTCTCTTCATTGTAAATAGCTAAAGCAACACATGAGTATATATTTAAAAACAAACCCTATTTCATCCCAGACTTCTAGGTCTCAAAAATCCCCAGACAAATGTGGGTGTTCGAAAACAGGCTGAAAGTATATCATGGAACCAGAGATTTTTATGTTCATGCCTGTTTGATATCAACATAGATAGAAGAGGCTGTAAGTTCTTAGTGAGAAGGACAGTCTTTTTTGTAAAGTGTTTGTACAAGCTAGCATAGTGGGATGGTTCCTGGACCATGATTGGAGCGCCTTTATGCTACTGCAGTAGAAATGCTTTGATTCAGCACATCTTTTGTCATAATGATCATCTTCCCTGGTTGGGGTTGAGGAGAGAGATATACTTATGGTAAAGCTTTACTCTTTACCACACCCTGGAATTCTTTGCAACAAATGTTGTAGGTAGGTCTTTTTTTTAAAGACTGGATAATTTTATCACTAAAATATGTTTGTATTTGCTGAAATAAGGGTAACAACTTATATCCCAAATAATGATATTTAAATTGCTGTTTAGGTCATGGGGACATTTCCCCCTTTAATACAGAGCTGCACAATAAGCAGTGTATTGAGGTTCCTCTTTCTAGAGGCACGAGGTTCAATCTGGTATGACAAATTCTGTGTCAAACTGGTTCTAGTATTCTAGACACATGGATAGGTATGTCTGCATTACTTCAGATCATTACTGCAAGAAGTTATCAAGTAACAGAGGCAGGATGCTACAGCCAGCACAAGACCAGTCAGCATTAGTCTGTTCTCTGTAACAATGCATGCTGAAAATCAGGGTTATCTTTTCTCAAAACAGTAGCTATCAGTGTAGATCTGACAATTTCCTAGCATAGAGAAGAGATTTGTGCTTTTTGAAGTGCTACAGGGCACATCTTCACTAGCAATGTTAAAGTGCTGCCATGGCAGCGCTTTAACTTGGCTTGTGTAGTCATGGCAGAGCGCTGGGAGAGCTCTCTTCCTCTAAAAAAACCCACCTCCATGAGGGGCATAGCTACCAGTGCTGGGGGCGCAGTCTATACTGGCATGTTACAGCACTGAAACTCGCAGCGCTCAGGGGTGTGTTTTTTCACACCCCTGAGCGAGAAAGTTGCAGCACTGTAAAGTGCCAGTGTAGACCAGCCCACTGTTGGATAAATATTCTACTCTATTCTGAAATCCACCTCTTCAAGCACTCTCTCCTGTCTGAATAATCCCCCATAACTTTCTTGTCCTGTGTTTTGCGTAGTGCAGCTTGTCTCTTTAAGAGTAAATACGTGATGTACAATTGCAAAAATTATCTTTTGGGAAAGAACACAAACTACAATGAAAGTAGAATATTTGTTTTGAAGTGGAAACAACAAGCACTACATTGGAAAAAATATGGGCCAGATTGAGACTCTCACTTGCATGATTGCAGTACCTGCACAAGCATGCAGACACAATAAATATGCTTGTAGCATATGCATGAAACTGTGCAATTATTTCTGAAAAGCTGGCCCTGCTACAATATTGTAACTTCAAACATGCTGTCCTTTTTAGCTCATGTCAAATTTTATTTGATGTCTGTCACATTAAACTACAGCACTACTGGAAAATTATAAGTAATATACAAAAAGTTGCAATATACATATGTGGGAAATTCCTTGGATGTTGCATATTTCAAGTTCTTGGGGAAACAGTTAATGGGAACAAAGGAGAAGTTCTTTTATTGATGTCATAATAAAGCACACTGCTCTTGACTAAAGGGAGTTCCTCCTGCAGGTTTTATTTACTTATGCACAGGTGTGACTGAAATCAGTATGTGAGTCATTCATTCTACCTTATTGTTGACTAATGTTACAGTACTTAGAGTATCTATAGAAGAGTATTTGCAGTGAATCCTTTATTTAAAAATCTTTAGGGGAGGGAGGAGTGTTGGAGTTCAGAAGGTATAGAATTCTTAATTTGTTGTGCTAACTGGATGACTTGGTGTCATTACTAATGAGCAAACGATAGGGTCCTTGTCTCTACTGGGTTTTCAGACTCCCAAGTTGAATGCAAATAAAACTTCTGATATTTTTGAAAGTAATATGAGGAAGACACAGAATTGGTCACAACAATAGCAAAGGCCCCATTTCCTAATTGGCACATTAGACATAAACTATGCAACATGAACCCAAGAAATGTGGTGCTGTCTCTTTAATCCTTCCCTGATCCACTCAAACTGTTTTATACAATTTATTACATTTATGGCTCCCAAAATCTTAAATTGTACAATTCTTGCTTTGCTAAGTGACTGTATTATAGAAATTGCTGGAAACTTTTGGGTGTCATCTCATTGTGATGTTCATTTTAAGGGATATTTATTTTGATCTATTTGACAGCTTTCAAACTATTTGGAATATAGCAGTCAGTTTGGACTCCCCATCTTGATTATGAAAAATCCAGTTCAACCTCATGTTCATTACTGATCAGCTACAGAATATACAAAAATATTTCCAACAATCAACTAATGACTAGGCAGGTGGCGAATTGATGACTTATTACACCTACAAATTGTATACCCAGACTATGCAAAAACAGGCTAGTTTTATTGCTGACTTTTTCTCCCCTGCATCCCCTGAACCTGCCTTCTTGTTTGTTTCATGTAAGGGATTATGTTAGCTATCACATTTTAAAAACAAGAGGCTAACCACAAGTACTCCTTTTCTTTTTGCGAATACAGACTAACACGGCTGTTCCTCTGAAACCTATCTACACTACAGTGGCACATCTATGGCACTGCAGCTGTAGCATGGACACTTCCTATATCAAGGGAAGGGTTTTTTTTGTTGGTGTAGGAAAATCACCTCTGACAGATGGTAGCTAGGTTGTCATAAATATAAAGGGAAGGGTAAACCCCTTTGAAATCCCTCCTGGCCAGGGGAAAGCTTCTCTCACCTGTAAAGGGTTAAGAAGCTAAAGGTAACCTCGCTGGCACCTGACCAAAATGACCAATGAGGAGACAAGATACTTTCAAAAGCTGGGAGGAGGGAGAGAAACAAAGGGTCTGTGTGTCTGTCTATATGCTGGTCTTTACCGGGGATAGACCAGGGATGGAGTCTTAGAACTTTTAGTAAGTAATCTAGCTAGGTATGTGTTAGATTGATTTCTTTAAATGGCTGAGAAAAGAATTGTGCTGAATAGAATAACTATTTCTGTCTGTGTATCTTTTTTGTAACTTAAGGTTTTGCCTAGAGGGGTTCTCTATGTTTTGAAGCTAATTACCCTGTAAGATATCTACCATCCTGATTTTACAGGGGGGATTCCTTTATTTCTATTTACTCCTATTTTTATTAAAAGTCGTCTTGTAAGAAAACTGAATGCTTTTTCATTGTTCTCAGATCCAAGGGTTTGGGTCTGTGGTCACCTATGCAAATTGGTGAGGCTTTTTATCTAACATTTCCCAGGAAAGGGGGGGTGCAAGTGTTGGGAGGATTGTTCATTGTTCTTAAGATCCAAGGGTCTGGGTCTGTAGTCACCTAGGCAAATTGGTGAGGCTTTTTACCAAACCTTGTCCAGGAAGTGGGGTGCAAGGTTTTGGGAAGTATTTTGGGGGGAAGGACGCGTCCAAACAGCTCTTCCCCAGTAACCAGTATTAGTTTGATGGTGGTAGCGGCCAGTCCAAGGACAACGGGTGGAATATTTTGTACCTTGGGGAAGTTTTGACCTAAGCTGGTAAAGGTAAGCTTAGGAGGTTTTTCATGTAGGTCCCCACATCTGTACCCTAGAGTTCAGAGTGGGGGAGGAACCTTGACATAGGTAAATGGAAGAATTCTTCTGTCAACTAGCTGCATCTAGAATCCTAGGACTGGAAGGGACCACAAGAGGTCATCTAGTCCAGTCCCCTGCATCCATGGCAGGACTAAGTATTCTGTAGACCGGGGTGGCCAAAATGTGGCTCTGGAGCTACATGCAGCTCTTCAGAAGTTAATATGCAGCTCCTTGTATAGGCACCGACTCTGGGGCTGGAGCTACAGGTGCCAACTTTCCAGTGTGCCAGAGGGTGCTCACTACTCAACCCCTGGCTCTGCCACAGGCCCTGCTCCCACTCCACCCCTTCCCGCCCCCTCCCCTGAGCCTGCAGTGGCCTTGCTCCTCTCTTCGTCACCCCTAGCTCCCAAGCCTCCTGCATGCCACAAAACAGGTGACTGAGAGGTGTGGGAAGGGAGTGGGAGGTGCTGATCAGCAGGGCTGCTGGTGCATGGGAGGCACTGGGAGTGGGGTTGGGGAGCTGATGGTGGGCTGCTGACGTATTATTGTGGCTCTTTGGCAATGTACATTGGTAAATTCTGGCTCCTTCAGAGGCTCAGGTTGGCCGCCCTGATCTAGACCATCCCTGAAAGGTGTTTGTCTAACCTGCTCTTAAAAATCTCCAATGATGAAGATTCCACAACCTCCCTAGGCAATTTATTCCAGTGCTTAACCATCCTGACAGGAATTTTGTGGTAATGTCCATCCTGAACCTCCCTTACTGCAATTTAAGCCTATTGCTTCTTATCCTATCCTCAGAGGTTAAGAATTTTTCTCCTCCTTGTAGCAACCTTTTATGTACTTGAAAACAGTTATCACGTTCCCTCTCCATCTTCTCTTTTCCAAACTAAACAAGCCCAAATTTTTCAATCTTCCTTCATAGGTCATATTTTCTAGATCTTTAATCATTTGTTGCTTTTCTGTGGACTTTCTCCAATTTGTCCATCTTTCCTGAAATGTGGCTCCCAGAACTGGACACACTACTGCAGTTGAGACCTAATCAGCGTGGAGTAGAGCGGAAGAATTACTACTTATGTCTTGCTTACACCAGTCCTGCTAATACATCCCAGAATGATATTCGCTTTTTTTTTTGCAATAGTGTTACACTGTTGACTCATATTTAGCTTGTAGTCCACTATGACCCCCAGATCCCTTTCCGCATTACTCCTTCCTAGTCAGTCATTTCCCATTTTGTATGTATGCAACTGGTTGTTCCTTCCTAAGTGGAATACTTTGCATTTGTCCTTATTGAATTTCATCCTATTTACTTCAGACCATTTCTCCAGTTTGTCCAGATCATTTTGAATTTTAATCCTATTCTCCAAAGCACTTGCAACCCTTCCCAGCTTGGCATCATCCTCAAACTTTATAAGTGTACTCTCTATGCCATTATCTAAATTATTGATGAAGATATTGAACAGAACTGGACCCAGAACTGATCCCTGCGGGACCCCACTTGTTATGCCCTTCCAGCATGACTGTGAACCACTGATAACTATTCTCTGGGAATGGTTTTCCAACCAGTTATGTCCCCACTAGTAACTCCATCTAGGTTGCATTTCCCTAGTTTGTTTATGAGATGGTCATGGGAGACAGTACCAAAAGCTTTACTAAAGTCAAGATATACCATGTCTACCGCTCCCCCCCCATCCACAAGGCTTGTTACCCTGTGTGACAAAGTTCCTCCTCTGCCTTAGTGGGTCCTGCGCTTATTGACTGATTTGCTCGCCTCAGAGGTTCACAGCAGCCCTCAGTTTGGCCACTTTCATGGCTCAAATCTGCTGTTCGCTCAGTTAGCCTCATCACTGGCGAGCATGTGGAAAGGAAGAACAATCCCCACAGTCTCTGCTGATCCACCTAGTGGATCGGGGAACAGGCTGGAGACCTTCCCCTCTAGTGAAACCCACAGTCCGGTTCAACTCCTCCGGTATCGAGTTGGGGGAATGGAGGGAACCTGGGCCTGCCCTCTACTCCGGGTTCTAGCCCAGGGCCCTGTGGATTGCAGCTGTCTACAGTGGCTCCTGTAACAGCTGCGTGACAGCTACAACTCCCTGGGCTACTTCCCTATGGCCTCCTCCCAACACCTTCTTTATTCTTACCAGAGGACCTTCCTCCTGATGTCTGATAATGCTTGTACTTCTCAGTCTTCCAGTAGTACGCCTTCTCACTCTCAGCTTCTTATGCCTCTTGCTCCCAGCTCCTTGCATGTGTGCCACAAACTGAAGTGAGAGCCTTTTTAAACCCAGGTGCCCTGATTAGCCTGCCTGTCTTAATTGATTCCGGCAGCTTCTTGATTGGCTGCAGGTGTTCTAATCGGCCAGTCTGCCTTAATTGTTTCCAGAAATTTCCTGATTGTTCTGGAACCTTCCCTGTTACCTTACCCAGGGAAAAGGGACCTACTTAACCTGTGACTAATATATCTGCCTTGGGGGGGTGGCGTGTCCTGCAGAGAGCCCCCCCAGGCCGGGTCGTGATCTGTGTCCCTTTGTGTCTAGTCTGGAATTGGTTCCTGCCCAATAAAACACATTGGACACCCCCCCCCCCCCAAAAAAAAAAATCACTCTCCTGTCATCTGGCCTGACGCTGTCACAGAAAGTTTTGACAAGTTTTGTTCTTGATAAATCCACCCTGACTGTTCATAGAATATCAGGGTTGGAAGGGACCTCAGGAGGTCATCTAGTCCAACCCCCTGCTCAAAGCAGGACCAATCCCCAACTAAATCATCCCAGCCGGGGCTTTGTCAAGCCTGACCTTAAAAACTTCAAAGGAAGGAGATTCCACAACCTCCCTAGGTAACACATTCCAGTGCTTCACCACCCTCTTAGTGAAAAAGTTTTTCCTAATATCCAACCTACACCTCCCCCACTGCAACTTGAGACCATTACTCCTTGTTCTGTCATCTGCTACCATTGAGAACAGTCTAGATCCATCCTTTTTGGAACGCCCTTTCAGGTAGTTGAAAGCAGCTATCAAATCCCCCCTCATTCTTCTCTTCTGCAGACTAAACAATCCCAGTTCCCTCAGCCTCTCCTCATAAGTCATGCGTTCCAGTCCCCTGATCATTTTTGTTGCCCTCCGCTGGACATTTTCCAATTTTTCCACATCCTTCTTGCAGTGTGGGGCCCAAAACTGGACACAGTACTCCAGATGAGGGCTCACCAATGTTGAAGAGAGGGGAACGATCACGTCCCTCGATCGGCTAGCAATGCCCCTACTTATACAGCCCAAAATGCCATTTGGACTGTTAATCACCTTATGTTCTAGATGTTTGCAATTGATTGTTTAATTATTTGCTCCATTATCTTTCCTGGTACAGAAGTTAAGCTGATTGGTCTGTAATTCCCTGGGTTGTCCTTATTTTCCTTTTTGTAGATTCTCACTATATTTGCCCTTTTCCAGTCTTCTGGAGCTCTCCAGTCTTCCATTAATTTTCCAAGATAATCGCTAATGGCTCAGATATCTCCTCAGTCAGCTCCTTGAGTATTCTAGGTTGCATTTCATCAGGCTCTGACTTGAAAACATTTAACTTGTCTAAGTAATTTTTAACTTGTTCTTTTCCTATTTTAGCCTCTGATCTTACCTCATTTTCACTGGCATTCACTGTTAGACGTGCAATCACTACCAACTTAATGTACAGTTGGGGCATATGTTTATATAGCTACATCGCACAGGGTGCAGAATTTTTCAGAGCCCTGAGCAGTGTAGCTAGGTTGATCTGATTTTTAGGTGTAGACCAGGCTTTAACTTTACATGTGGTTATTTGGGCTCTGAGTGAAATATAACAGTAAAAACAAAAATATTTGCACAGAATCAAAAGTAAACACATTCTGATCAAGACTTCGCATTGGAGCAGATTACTTCAAGACAGAAATAATTGTATACATATTCTGAACTATGTGGCATGGCCTCTGATATTAGTACATCTAAAAGGTCACCTTTTCACTCAAATCTTTAGAACCTTTTGGCTATGCAATAAGTTTATCATATTTATCATATTTTTGTAAATTAAATTTTTGACCTGGTGAGCACTTACTGTAACTTTCAAGTTGTCCTGTTGTCTTGGGGTACATGGTGATTTCTGTCTTACTAAAATCAGATGTCTGTCTTGTAGTTTGGAGCTGAATTTCGACGGTTTTCTCTGGAAAGATCCAAACCTGGAAAGTTTGAGGAGTTCTATGGATTATTGCAGCATGTGCACAAGATCCCCAATGTTGAAGTTTTAGTTGGGTATATAGACATTCATGGAGATCTGCTGCCTATCAACAATGATGACAATTATCATAAAGCAGTTTCCACAGCCAATCCTCTGCTCAGGATTTTTATTCAAAGAAAAGGTAAGTTCACTAATTTTGTGCATTGGTCGTGTCTACTATGTATAAAGCAGTATCCATGCACACGGTCACATATTTTGCACTAGTCTAATTTTTTTTTTAAAAGTCCCAATTAGACATTATCCTGTTTCTCCATGTTGACATGTACTGACTTCTTACTGATCTTCACTGGGAACTCCCAACTATCCTTTGCAGCAAGCTGTTTGGAAACATATTGTGCACCATTGCTGTAGGGCTCGAGATTCCCCTCTGTCCTATACCTCTGCTACTAAGCTACTTTTCTCTTTTTTCTTTTTACATTTGGGAATGTCTGTAATACATTGATTTAAACCCCATTCGCTCCATCAAAAATCCATCCTCACTTCAGTAGAAATACTGCTTTTATATGAAGTCTTCATTTATGAACATATTCAATGCTTAGTTTACTCAAATTAGATAGAAACATTAAAGCTGAATCAGCATTCTCCAGTGAACTTTTTGTATATTGTTTAAAGGCAGTTGCTCATGTCTCCCTTTGTTTCCACTGAAAGCTTAACAGTATCATGCATTCGTCAGGAAAACAGGTGGCCTGGTCACACGTTAACCAACATGAGGTTAAGTTCAAATGAAGGCAAGGCAGTTTGTAGTTTTAACACTATTAGCAGGTCGAGGTAAACATTGCATTCCTGCTAGTGTTTACCTCAACTTGTGAACAGGTGAAAACTAGAGACTGCCTTGTCTTCACTGGAATTTTATAATGTGGTAAGAGAACACTTTTTCTCCTACTGTGGACACACCCTAGCAGGGTGGCGATTGTTTTTACTTCTTTCTAATTTGTTAGCTTTATAAAGAGTTCATTATACTATGGCTGTGCTAGAATAAAAGTTAAATTTCCCCAGAGATGAATATTGTCTAGGTTAAGTATAACATTATCACCTAGATTAAGAGACAGTAGCTCACTCCTGTCTGCATCCTGAAGTTCCTTTCATAACAGATTAACAGGTATTGTTGATGTGTTGGAAGGGGTAAAAGGGAATTCAAAGGCTGAACTAACATGGCTTTAATTCAGTCAAGATATATGGGAGTCTGTCTGAAGAGAAACCTGACCTAGGGGTGAAACAAATGTGAAGGCCAGCTGGGCATATCTTTTTGCCCTCTTCCACAATATAAGAACACAGGGTACTCAATGAAACAAAAGATACAGGGAAATACTGGGTTTTTTAATACTACTTTACTTAACTTGTAGAACTCACTGTCACAGAATATTAAAGCAGCAAAGTGAAAATAATAAATTTGACATCTAAAGGTGAAGAGAGACTTAGGAAATCACTTAATTCTTCCTCGCTAATGTAAGCTTGTTCACTGCAGCACTTTCTGGCATGTGTCCTGCAGTATGGGGCTTTCTTTTTTTACCTGTGGATGACTATTCCATAGCATAATAAAGGTAGCCTGCAGTTACACTGGCTATAAGATTTTACAGGTGTAATCAATCTTCATGCTTCAGGACATAGACTAATAGGCAGCTAATGTCATGAACAAATTACCCCACAACAAAGCTGGACTGTGTGATTCTAATCACTTCCATTATGTGACCAGCTGCAAGTGTAATACTACTTTGCTTCAGCTTAATGCTTCCCTGTAGAGGTAGATACAGGGTGGCTGAGAGAGAGATTCTGAGGATAGACAAAAGCAGTAACAGTCCTAATGCTCACCATTGCTTTTTAAAACGGGAGAACTGTTTAGTCACTAGTTTGCAGAAAAAACATCTAATTGTTTCTGGCACCCCATTAATCCTCTATGCAATTAATTTTGGTCCTGCTTGATAACTGGTGGAATGAAAGAAGAGCTGGGTCTGAAGAATGTCTCTAGATGTTTTCCCATGCTTCCAGTGTTTTAAAACACCTGTAAAAGTTTTCCCAATTGAGTTTTGAAATGCCTCTAATCAATATTTAGATCTCCATTCTTTTCATAAATGTTAAATACTAATGTTAGGTTCAATGTGACCTTTTTTTATTTTTTTTTTAATCTCATTAAATTACAGTTTTTCCCCCAGTATTGTGGTACTCTTATCAAATGTCTTCAGATGGTTCTGTTTATCTCTGGAAACTTGATGCTTGAAGGATAATTTTACCAATAAGTCCATTCCTTTGGAAGCATATCAGAGGGCTTGTCAACAAATTGTGCAATTCCAGGTGTTGAAGAATATCGGGTTGAAACTAAGTTTCAACAGTTGAACACTTTCTTTTTTTTAAATGATACATCACATACACATAAAATTAGTATAACCAGTGAGTTTGAGACCATTAAAACAGGAAGTTTTTATACCAAGTTGACATTCACCTTTACATCTTTGTTGTTAACACCTTGTTCTTTGGCGTTCTGCCAAAATATTTGTCACTGTAACTATAAACTGATTAGCTTGATGTCAGTACAAAGGTGTCTTTGTACTCAAGGATATTGTTTTAGAAAATTTGTTTGGGGATCTAGGAGAGGTTAAACAGAATCTTGCTGCCTGGCAGAGTTATGGGAATTAGTTTTCTTCAAGCTTTCCCTACTTCTCCAAATTATGTAACTCTAATTTTCTACCTTAAATTTTGTGCTATTTTAGAATCTTTAGACAACATCCAAAGCTAATTAGTATCCCAAAAAACCCTAATGGTTTGTATAGTCTGTTGATCTGGAAATGTAGTAGCATTCTGACTTGTAAGTTCATGAATACTGTTGTGTGTGTGTGTGTGTCCCGCACTGTGCATCATTGAGCTTTAAGAAATGGATTTTAAAAAGTAAAACACCAGCTCAGTAATAGAGATTTCTGAGAGAGTTACATTTACTGTGTTTTGAGGTTTTCTTTTAGTGGGGGAGGGGGCTGTTTTGTGTTGTAGGATAGGGTACTCTTGAAGTTCAGATCTTTTCTAACAGAGGCAGTTTCCAAAATCTTAATTTTCTTTTAAATGGCCCTTTCTTGCATTTTCAGGCATGTGTTCAAATGGAGGTGTCTTTTGTGGTATTCTTTAAGTTCTAGTTGCAGAAATGAGTTTAAGAAACCTGCTTTTGTAACT